GTATAATATAAATTATTGAAGAAGGAGGTGAAATAGATGTTAGTTTATTGATGTGTGATAAATATATATTAAACCGTGTGATAAATTTATATTTATCACACGGTTTATAACTTTAATAATTTTTAATAATTTTTTTTTAATGTGTTATGATTAATGATATGTAATAAACATTTTTGAGAATTGTTGTCCGACATAAATTTTTGCTAAAGTTTGTAGATATTAAACTTTTATTTGGCTAGTTGGATATTACTTTCTAAGGATTCAACCTCCTTTCGTATTCGTAGAATCGCCTCTCTCTCTTTCTCTCTCTCCCTCTCTCTCTCTCTCTCTCTCTCTCTCTCTCTCTCTCTCTCTCTCTCTCTATATATATATATATATATATATATATATATATATATATATATATATATATATATATATATATATATATATATATATATATATATATATATATATATATATATATACAGAGCTGTAACCACAGTTTTCATATTAGGGGGGCCCATATTACATATTAAAGACAATTGTTTTTAATTTTGTTTAGGTACCCATTTTAGGGGCCCAGAGATAGGGAGAGGCCCAAACATAGCAGGGGAAAAGTCCTAAAATATATATGTTTATCTTAATAATTATAGTAAAATAATTTTTTTTTTTTTTTTTTGGGGGGGGGGGTCAATGCCACTCTGGCCCCTCCGGTGAATACGACTCTGATATACATATATATATATATATATATATATATATATATATATATATATATATATATATATATATATATATATATATATATATATATGTATATATATATATATATATATATATATGTATATATATATATATATATATATATATATATATATATATATATATATATATATATATATATATATATATATATATTAGGGTGATGCAAAATTTGTAGGTTCAAAACTTTAGTTGTCCTCAAGCTTGCCCTTGTTCTATATGACAATAGTAGTTATTGGCCAAAATTTGAATCAAATCGGATGATATTTAGGGGTTGCCATGTTTTGTCACATTTTGGTATAAGGTTACGAAAAGTAAAAAAAATATTTTTTATTTTTACATTTTTTATATTATATTACTGAATTATTTATTATCAATTTCTTATTATTATGTGGTGGATTGTGGATGTTCAATGTTAAAAAAATCAATACTATGTAATTATGTACTACTATGTAATTGCACTAGGCAATAATAAATCAATCATCTTCATCATTCAACAGTCATCTTCATCAGGGTAGACTTTGATGCAACTGGAAATTCCTTCCGGTGAAGATCAACCAATCTAAGAAGAAACTGCTTTTGGTTTTCATCTTTCGTAACGCTTGAGTTAAAGGATGTTATAAGTGCTATGCCTCGTTCCGCGCAATCGTTGACGACTTTCATTTGACCAACCTTGTGCTTCATTTCAAGATATGTTGAATCCATTTCCCACTCTGAAGATTCTTTCATTAAAAATGATTCAGCTTTTTCTTTTCCATTTTTCAAAATTAGATCAAAAAGTTCTGCGGTGCGTTGTGTGACGAAGGAAGGCAATGGGCTGTGACAATCGAATGTGGCAACATCAAGTCTTTTGAGAGATTTCTGCCTTGGCTGTTGTTTCAGGTTGTTTGCCATGTCTCTCTTGGTGTTGTTGTCGACACGGGAATCGAAGAAAGCCAATCCTATTAGATGTTCAGAAAAATACCAGAGGTGGCGATGAAAAGCTTTTGCTGCATTAATTGCAATTGTACGATTTGGATATTCTTGAATCCGTTGAAGAAGCTTGGCATCATTGAATGGTGCTCGTTCAGCTAACGGAGCTTCATTCCAAAACTGTCCGTATACAAATGCCACAAAAAGACTTATATCTGTTATTCCTTTCTTTTCCTTTGCAGTAATAACAAATTGATCCTGAAACAAATATATCTTTATACAAAATATAGCTTTTGCCATCCAACGTGCATTGTGTGTTGCACCTGGAGCCCGAAACTTCACTTTGAACTCCGATGTTGTAGTTGATCCTCCAAGAAAAATAAGGCACAAATTCAAGAGTTCTAAGTAATCATCCCTGGGTTGTTGACCTTTAATTGCTTCACTATAATATACTACCATTTCTTCACGGAGTTTGAGAAAAAAATCGCAGTTGTAAAATTCTTTATTCCCTATAGTGAACACCTCCTTGTTGATTACTGGCCATTGTTTCTGGAAACGGTTAAAAATTCCAACTTCAGGTCCTCCACTGGTTCCAAATGCAGTCGTGAAAATGGTGGAAAGCATGACTTCAAACATATGGTGCCTGCATGCTATCCATATAAGATTACGGTCAAGATTCTGCTCCATTATTGTGCAGGCACCAATGTTCAACCCAGTGTTAGATGAAGTAGTGTCAAAAACCAGTCCCCGAACAAGTTCTTTCAATTTCCAGTCTTTAAGAGCCTTCATGCAAGCATCAGCCTGTTGCTCACCTGTACCTCGATCAATCTTTGGAACGCCCAGCAATTTTTCCACCCCACCACCAGTCACAAGGATGGCAATTCTATCCACTTTTTTTGACCACCAGTGATATCAGGTAAGAGCTTTCCATCCCAATGCAGAAGAAGTGGATCATCAGGAGAGAAATCAACCTTGTCAGCTGTAGTCACCGCTTCACGAACAGATCGCCTTTTTCTGCGGATTGTGCTGTACGACAATGATAAATCTTTTACCGAGTGACCAAGAGCCTGAGACACTGTTCCAACCACGAAGAGTGCACGGCGATCAGAAATATTAACACGATCAAGAGATGATACAACATTATTTGTTAGAACTTTCATCTTCTTTTTCGTTGAACCACTTGTGCTCAGTGTGCTGGAAGCGGAAGGAGTCTGATATACATCATCATCCGAGGAACTAGAGCTACTTTCACTCACAATGACAACTGCTGATGAAGAAGAAATGAGTTCTGTTTTTTCCATCAGTTCCGCTTGACTTCTTTGACGCCTCAATTCCATTTTAGTTTCTCGGACTCGTTTCCGTGCCTCCCTAGCTGTTAAATTCCGATCAATTCCTGCCATACTACAACTTAATGGATCTTCTTGCTGCTGACGTAAAAATGCTTTATCTTCATCGTTTTTCATAACTTCTGATGCATTCTTGGTTGAAATATCAAAAAGTTCTTCAAGGTCAGCGTGGAAAATTCCTTCTTTCATTTGACAGCTGTCCAATTTTGATCCTCGGTGTTTTTTCAGCAGCAGATATTCGTCATAAAGTTTTTTTAACTTTCTTTCCGCATTGTCAATTCTTTGAGTTGGAGTTTTTCCTTTCTCCCATATAACAAGAACTGCTTCAATTGTTGCCCGAATACTTTTTTTCACTTCTTGTTTCTCTTCTATATGATGGAAGAGCAACCTCCGAAGAACATCCCCTCTTGAAGGAAGTCTGGCAGTCGACAGAGTTTGTGTAGGTTTACCAACAAGCCACACCTCAGCAGAAGATCTAGTGGTTGCCATATTATCAATTTCTAAATTATAAATAAATAAACAATGAAAAAACAAATTTGCGAAATTTGAAAAAATCACAAAATTTTACCAATGGTTAATTCATCTTATAAAACATGGCAACCCCTTAAATTGCTTCTTTTAGTCTAATTTTTGGTACACATGATCCTAGGTGATAAAGGAACACAGGCAACCTTGAGGAGAATGTTTTTTGTGACATTATTTTTTTCTATTACAATCTGAATCACCCTAATATATATATATATATATATACATATATATATATATATATATATATATATATATATATATATATATATATATATATATATATATATATATATATATATATATATATATATATATATATATATATATATATATATATATATATATATATATATATGTATATATATATATATATATATTTATATATATATATATATATATATTTGTGTGTGTGTGTGTGTGTGTGTGTGTGTGTGTGTGCACTGGCATAGGAACAAGGGGGTGGAGAAGGGGGTGATAGGAACAAGGAACAAGGGGGTGGAAAGGGGGTGATAGCCCCCTCAACTAAAATAATGAGGGGGGGCAGATACTGCATTTAGCCCTCCCCTCCCCCCCCCCCTACCTTCCCCACACCTTATACAGTTTTAAAAAACTTTTATAATAACAACAGTGGAATTATCATTTTCCAGTCTGCAATGACTCAATCACAATTAAACATCAACACGGAAAAGTGTATCCATAAAACTGTTTAAGATACGATATCATACTAAATATTTTTTAAATGAAAGTGTGCTGGCAAAAGATCACGTCAAAAAGGTGCTCGTAATAAGGATCAACTGTTTTAACAAATCCAAAAGGTCTGGGCAGCGATTCCACAAAGTTTCATTGATCACCTGATTGAATCTATGCTGTGATCGACAACAAAGAGTTCGCCACGAAATATTGATAGCGAAATACAGCTTGGTCAACATTTTGTGGAGTTGCACTTGTTTTGTCTGGAAGGAAATCAACTTTTTTTAATACTTTTGATTAATTTATTACTTTTCGTGTACAAATAATGAACTTTGTGATGAGTAAAACTTGAAGAACGTTGTCTCTAAACAGTTACATTGTTATTTCTCTAAATTGAAAAAGTGCAGCACTTTTATATAAAGAAACTAAATTAGCATTATTTGGTTGCACTTGTTTTGCCCGATACTGTATATATATATATATATATATATATATATATATATATATATATATATATATATATATATATATATATATATATATATATATATATATATATATATATATATATATATATATATATATATATATATATATATATATATATATATATATATATATATATATATATATATATATATATAAAGAGAGAGAGTTGAATAAATAGATACAGATTTAATATAGCTTTATTGTATGTAATAATTGTTATAATAATTGACAAAATACATATAATAATATCTAATAACAATACAAATAATAAGTATTTAATTAATAGTCGTAAGTTTGTTAAAAGTAAATATAGCAATAAAAGTATGCATAAATATAACGGAAATGAAAAAAATATTATCTACACCAAAAAGTCAGAATAACAACAGATTTTAACACGAAAAGAAATATTCAGTTGTTTCTTTTGACGTCCAAACTATATTTTCGATTAAAGTTACATTGAAGTAATTGTTTAAACTGCTGACGAAAAGTTCGACTTACATATGCGTAAAGAAAAGGATTAACTGTCGAATTAGGGTATGTTAAAAAATTGCAGACGTCAAATAATACCCTCGAATAGCATTTATTACATATACCAACTAAAATCCATTGTAGATTAAGAGGTAAACCAGTAATCAGAAAAGCTGATATAATGCTTGCTATCATTTTTAATGCTTTTTGGTGTCTTTTTATTCGTTGACGTTTTTTTAATAACTCACGATTTGTTTGTATATCTGCATATACACCTTGCTTTAAATCAGAAGAATAAGGTAAAGATTGAAATTGGGATAATCCTTCAGTAGAGTTTGATACTAAACTTGGAAGTTGAAAAGATTTCGGTGCCTCATAAAGTTGTTGCCGTAAGATGAAATACATTTTCCCGTAAATTACAATAACAATACTGAGAGGTAAAAAGTATCCTAAAACTGACGTAATAACGAAAAAATATTTTTTAAACTTAACATCACCGACCTTTGAAAACTGCTTGTAACAAAGATTTTCTGAGAAAGTTTTCTTTTTTGATGTGTATTTATAAAAATTGATATACGGAGCCCACAATATAAACGCTAAAACCCATACAGATAACAACTTAACAATAACCATTGAGGTTCTTTGATGTAAACGATGTTTTATAGGGTATTTAATTGAAAAATAGCGATCGAAGTTGATTAAAACAATGTGGTTAATTGAAGTTTGAATAGATACATAATCTAACACTAAAGTTAAACTGCACATTGCTTGGCCTAAAGGCCAGTATCCCAACGCTACTTCCATAATATTCATGGTTACAGGATAGAACCCAATAAACATATCAGTGAACGCCAAAGAAAGTATAGGTACATTTGAAATATTTCGAATTTTTTCGCTTTTAAAGTATGCGATAATAATCAAAAGATTCCCCAATATCGTAACAACACTTAAAATTCCAGCACCACACATGACGAGTGTTGAAAATATTTGAGGATTCTTTATATAATTTTTTTCATTCATCAAAACTTTATTGGAGTATAATATAAGCGAAGAAGTGCAACATGTAGTATTCATTATGAAAGAAGAGAAATTCATCATTTGGTTTGGTATGATGCTTTTAAGTTAACATATATCAATATCGAGAAATTGAAGCGGTGACTCTTTCAAAATTCCTCGTAGAACGATGAAAAAGTTAAAGATTAAAACTGCTACTGTTACTTATCTTTAGAACATGCGTAAAGTTTGTTTTCGCAACTAATTAACAGATTAAGACCAATGTTAAAATATTTTTCATTAAGATGTAAATGATAAAAAATGTTACGCAAAAGTAACCTTTGCACAGGTTATAAATCTTCTTGACGTTTTAGGTCGTTTGTTAATTGGCTGTTGAAACCTTGCGTTAAATTACACTTGTTGCACTTTTGAGCTAATAAGACATCAGACAACGACACAAATGAAAGTTTCAAGTGGATTTTTTTTATCGTTTCATGTTTTTTTTTATTGATTCAAGAACAAAAAGAGAAGTAATGTTTATATAAAAAGCTTTATTTATAAGACACAAAAAAAAGTACAAAAAATGATGTTAATAATTAATATTTGGCAATCATTTCAACATTTTTTATTTATTTAAGAAAGCAGATCTTAAAGATATACAAATTAGAATACGCTTTTGTTAACAGGGTTGTAAAAAAATGCCATTTTAAATACAATACTTTTATAAGGTATACGATATTATTATGAAAATTTAAAATAACATTGTATACCTTGTATATATTATATTATTTTATATATTATATATTATTATATTGTATTATATGTAAGATATACAATATTATTAAAAATATTATTTGAACCGTATTTAGATTCTTATATTAAAACCTTTTGCAAATACTTTCTTTTAAAAACAATGATCATAATAGTAAATTTGCTATAAGAATTAAATATTTGCAGCTAGTTCAATAAAGATTTGAAAGCTATATAAAAGTTATATACTTAATTCTTGCATTCTAACTCGAAATGTCTCTCAACGACGGTCTCTCTGACCTCTCAACGATGTACTCTAATGATCAGATTAGACAGAGGTCGGCAACCTGCAGCTCGCAAGTTGGATGCGGAACTTTTTCAAAACTGTGCGGCTCTTTAGGCTGTTCAGATTATATATTTGAATTCAAAACTATTATTAAAACACGTTACAAATCCTATGCTTGCGGCTTTTTATAAGATTTTTAAGAATTATTTTAAGAAAAATAGCTTCCTACTCAAAATAGTTTGCCCACCCCTGAGGTAAGACGATATATATAAAATTATTTAAATATTCATTAAGATTTGTGATATACTTTTAAAATAAAATAGTTATTTGATATAAAATCAAGGGGAACCTAGAGTTAAAAAAATGAAAATTAAGTTTGACGCTTTATTTTTACGCATCTTTTAAAAAAATGTGTTTTAATTCATTATGTCTGTTAAAATCTGTATAAAGCACTAATTTTAAACCAGCGCACATAGCGACAAATATAGCAACAAAAATATTCATTCACCAGAGCATGTGTAATCTGCAGTTAACTAGTGTAAATAAAGTTTTACAGTGTAGCGATTTAATTAGGCTGCGTGGCTTAATCATTATCATCATCAGGGTCAAAGCTAAACCTAAAATATATGATTTTAGCTTTTTGTATTGTTATAATGTTTTTCGTGCATATAAAACATATATCATTTATTAGTTTAAATTTTCTTTTCTATAAGATACTATCTTGATAAACATTTTAAAAAGAAATTAGTTCGAAAGGAAGACATAATATAACGTGCGTATAAGAGAATTAAAAAAACTTTGGTCAAAGTTTCCACATATGCCACATTTTAAACTAAAAAGTACAATATGCAAAGTAATGTGTTGTAATGGAAACAAATAAAACCACTAAAAGATTGAAGAAGATTAAAAACAAAAAGCTTAAAAATCTATAGAAAACCATGATCATTATTTTTCGTTTTATTACTTACGCGTGTTTCCGTGTTCGTCCGTCTTTTATACTTTATTCAAAGTTTTTCAAGAACAATCAACTCAAAAACTAATTTGCAATCAGAAATAAAAAACAGTATTTACAGCATTAAAGTATTAATTGAATTTAATTAATTTTATGCAATTACATTATTAATATGTTAAAAATATAGGTCAAAAAGCGAGAAAAATGCGATTCTGAAAACGATTCTGAAACGCTCAGACCTGTAAAAGAACTAAAGTCTAGAAAAAATAATGTTGCTAAGCTACTTTTTTTTTTTTTTCATTATTTTCATTTTTTTTTTAAATTATAATTCACTCCTAACAATTCTGTAAACAACCACTATTAAGTTAGAAGTTGCTAGAAAACAAAGAACAGAGTTAAAGAGAAAAGTAACTGTTGATTGATGACTTGTAAAGATGTAGATTGTATGAGTCAGGATAACATGTAAATAGTAGAAGGTTCCTAAGGGCTGCAGTACAGATAAAGCAGGTACAACTACGTACACAATGCATTTTTTGAACTTGCTTAAAAGAAAAAATCATTAGAAGAAAAAAAGATCATCATTGAGCAGCCGCGGCTTTTTGTTTTGATTTTTGGCTCAGAATCAAGGATTTTGTGGTTCAACGCCGGCTCTAAGCTTTAAAGCGACATTATTAAGGTGGGGAAGAGTGAACTCTCTGGTTAAATATTCCTGCTTGGTGCAATATTCCTCTCTGATTAAATATTCCTGCTCTGTGATAAAACTGAAAGGTCCTCAAGGAGCACTTTAATAACTTTGTAAAAAGAAAAATTTATGGAAAGCTTGATAAAGAAAAGTAACCTTAGCAGATGTTAACTTGGTGATTGATTGTATATCTGGTTTCCATGAGAGCTTAGTAGTGAACAATAATCCAAAAAAGATATAAAGAAGACTCAGTGAGAGGAAAGCCATTCATTTATATTGGAATGTCAACAGTGTTGCAATATTTTTCTAATAAAAAAAAAAATAACGAACTTTATTGTCAAACGAGTTTTAATCAATTTTGTCTTCCCTATCGTGCAAGTACCGGTGCAAGTATCGTGCAAGTATCGTGCAAGTATAATCCTGGTAGTACCGCACTCAACTCAAGTTAAATGCGGTACTACCAGGAAAGTTCATATACGTATGTTAGTCAATTTCTTTCGTCAGTATAACAGTCCCGTTCTGTAAAATAGTAAATTTACAAAAGAATTTTTCTGAAAAAAAGAAAAAATCCAATAGAATTCTATAGAAATTCTATAGAATTCTATGAAATTCTAGAGAATTCTATAGAATTTCTATAGAATTCTATAAAATATATGAATATGATGGATATTTTTGAAATAAATATCTATAAGCATTTAATTTTTATGTATCGATTCAGCAATAATCTCTCTCCTGAAAATCTTAACAACAAGTTTGAAATAAATAGAAATAAAAACTATTATCTAAGTAATATAGGAAATATTTATCAAAAAAGTTTTAATTGTATAGCAAAGTCATTAAGTTTATTTTAGTATCAAATCAAAAAGAAGTTTTTAAAGTTAAATATATTTCTAGGCTCAATGAGAAGATTTTAATATTTTTTTTGCTCCTGTCTATTTTATTAAGATCATTGTAAATAGAAATGTTCATATTTTATATGGTATATACAAAAAAAGGTGCTTGTTGCCAAGATTTTAATGTCTTCTTCGTTCTACGGATATATTTTTTCATTCTTGTATATATGTATGTTGATTATTTTTGTTGAACAGCAAAATAAACAAAATACGACATAAAAAAAAAAAGATATAGTTTTCTCACTTTCAGCACAAATAAAAATTAAAAATCTTTTTTTTTTCGTAAACAAACAAATTCTGTTTACTAAATCCTTCTTTTTACACACTAAAAACTCTTCTTTTTAAATAACATTTTTTTGCATACATAAATACAAATAACTAATCTCCCATATATCATCTTTTTATATATGCGAGATTAGTTATTTGCATTTTTATACATTCACATAAAATTAACACAGTTCCATAACTTTCCACAGTAACATTAAAAGTATTTAATAAAGTTTGTAACAAGATTTAAATGATTAAAAATTTAAAACCTTTCTTTATGCATCTTCCTCAGTTTTTAAAGCAAATTCTACAAATGGATATCATTTATAGAAAAAAGCCTCAACTGAGCTCAGAAAATTTGGTTGTAATTTTTTAACAATATAAGAGTGTAATTTAAGGTTGATCACAAGTGCAGTCTTGTGCGGCCTAATGTTTTTCTGCTTGTGTAAAGGTAAGTGTTAAAACGAAGGTTGTGCATTTCAAGAGGTTTTATTAAAAAAAAAAACTTTATTGAAAAAAAGCAAGCATAAAAAATCAATATATGTCACTAATGCCGTTAATGAAACTAATTAAATCTATGAAATTAAAATGTTGTAAAGTTGCCTTGCTGGCCTCATCTTTTTTTTATGATGTTTTCATTTTCACCAAAATTCGAATAATAAAATAATTTCATTTTCGCGGTAAAGTTAATATACTGAGCTTAAAATCATAGTAGAGAAAAAACTAAATTAGTTTTAAAGTGCTGAGGTCTCTAGATTACCTTTATAAAAAGAAATTACTCCAATATAGAAATTGGTTTTGAGGGGCTTTATTCACCTCTGGCCCACATTGCGCTGTTCCAATTTTAGGTAATCTTCCCTAAATCGCAATCAGAATAATGATTTACCTCCTGCCAGTAGGGGATAGATGTTTAGCGTTGTTGTTTTGGGTGGGGTGGAAGTTGAATAAGTAGGCAGCGACAGAGGCTCGGTGTGGCACACTAACCTAATCTATGGTGACTTTGGTTAACAATTATCGTTAAAAAAAAAAACATTTAATATTATTGCAATGGTTTGGATATTTAAAAATATATTTACACTATATATATTACTAACAACAAGCATTAAAAAAATAATTTACTTTCCAGCTAGTTTATACAAATTTTTTCTTTTCCAGCAGGTAGAGAACGTTCGCTGGACGTCTTAAGGGCATCGTAAGGGCATGTGACAACCCTATAGATGTCTTACGGACGACTGTACTCACTGGGTTAAAGCAAAATGACTTATTGACCATTCAAAGTCAATACTGCTTATAAAACAATTTTGTAGAGTAAATTTTTAATGGAGAAATAAATGTTATTTATTTCTCCATTAAAAATAGGTGTACGTCTTTCATTTGTAGTTCAGTCGTTTTTGCTAGAGATTTTTGAATGTGGGGTCGACACGCGTAGGTGTCAAGTGGGAAGAGAGTGTTTTCTTGGTTTAAAAACATAACACATAATAACAAATTTAAGCTGCTACTGTAATTTTTTGCTCTTTTCCGTTGAAAAAAACGGAAAAGTGGCAAAGGCTACACCTAAAAATTAACAATGAAATAAAATATTATATAGTATTCATAGTAATAGCAGTATATATTTATTATTCTCATACATATAACATGATAATAGATATTATTA